TTTAAAAAATCACTGACAAAATATATTTCCGGATTTTTTTCACTATTTTACCACTTTAACTAGTTATACAAGTCATAAGAATGTATCCAACATGTTTTATAAAAGTTCAAGAAGTTATTTAACATGTTTTGGATTGTTCAAGGACTTATTTGTTCCAAAAATTGTCCAATGAGTTATTTAACATTTTTTGGAATGTCCAAGGACTTATTTGTTCCAAAAATTGTTCAATGACTTATTTAACATATTTTGGAATGTCCAAGGACTTATTTGTTCCAAAAAATTGTCCAAGAACTTATTTGTTCCAAAAAATTGTCCAAAGACTTATTTAACATATTTTGGAATGTCCAAGGACTTATTTGTTCCAAAAAATTGTCCAAGGACTTATATAACATGTTTTGGAATGTTCAAGGACTTATTTGTTCCAAAAAAAAATCCAAGGACTTAATCATTCCAAACAAGAAAGTCCATTGATTTTTATTGTACTTGTATACAATGAAATTATGGCTCTTAATGGTTAATGGAGATCCATGATACAAAATTATTCAGAGAGTTTTAGAATTATTAAAAGACATACTTTTTTTTTGTCAAACAAGATTCACCTTTTAACGGTTCAGAGGTTTTCTTCTAATAGAACTATTAAGAGATAAACAAACAATAAGTTAAAGCAAAAAATTATCTCATCATTTGCAAAGTAGTAATTTGGAGTATTTTGTTGTGTTCTTTTTATTAAGAAATCGTTTATCAAACATACCGGATAAAACTCTCGATCTTTGTTTTGTTTTTTACTGTATAAGATTTTGGTCCTTATCAGTAAAGTAAATAAATTGGTAAGCACTTATCCGGTAAAAGTATTGTAAACGACCCGTAAGTTTGTTTGTTAGTTTTTTTTTTCTCTTTTTTCTAATTATTTTTTTGTGTCTTTTTAATACTCTAACAACTCAACTATCTCAATACTTAATTTATATATGGTTCTCATCATTTTAATCTATATCAATTTTTTATATTAGAAATTAAATTAATATGAACTACATATTATATGATATCAAGGTTAATTATACTTTTTATTAAATTAAAGTATATTTTAAATAATGTATCTACTTATTTATTAATACAATTGTAGACGAAAGATTGTATGAGGATAAAAGTTAAGATGAGAAGTGTAAGAAAAGAATTTGGACTCTTGATCATTTTTAATCTCAAACATTTCTATGAGTTGCGGTTCAGTAGAGAATTGATTCAACTTTTCTTATTAATGTTGATATAGTGGAACTCTTTAATCATGATTGATTCAATGGTGAAGATCCTTCTTACTATTACTCTCGTAATCACTAGAACCCAACCCTACTCCCTACAATTATATAGTAGGTGAGGAATCGTGTGAGAAGGGAGGTTATAGTGAAAAGCGTTAGAAGAGATCTGAACATTTGATCACTTTTAATCTCATGCTCATCCATGAATTACGTTATAGAAAGGAATTGATAATGTACATCTTGATGTACATTATTAGTGTTGACTTTATAAATTGATGAGCGAAAACAAAAAAATTAAACTATATAGAACGTATATTTTAAAATGTTATTAAAGTTTATTTAAGCAATTAATAAGTACAAAATAAGTAATGGCAAAAATATGTTAAAAAAAGCTCTCTAAATAGCACATTACAAACACCTTTGCATTTGGTAGGATAAGAGGTAACAGAACGTGACAAAACTCACTGTCTCACGTTTGGTGTAACAGAGGGAAATAACAAGAACTCATTGTTTTATGTTTGGCGTGACGTGGGATAGGAACAAGAATGGGGACAAGGTGGAACAACATGAGACAAGTTTTTTTTTTGTTCCATCAAAATAGGTAGAACAAAAAAGGGGACAAGAATGAGACATAAACTAAAATATTATTAATCTACTCTCATTTAATATATAATTTTAATATGATATTTATTTTAATGATCACCACCGCTACTCACGACCAACTCCACCACCACTGGTAGCCACCGTCGGCCACCTCCACATCTTCTTCCACTGCCTTCACAACCATCGTCGACCATCGAACACCACCGTTTATCGCTACCTCTACAACCACCGTCTGCCATCGACCACCACTACCACTATTGACCCCCTCCAACTCCTCCTCTACTACAACCACCTCTTCCACCACCTCCACAACCACTATCGACCATCGTCCATTGCCACCTTTAATCGTCGGCCACCACCACTACCGCCATTGGTCATCTGCAGTTCCTCCTCTACTACAACCACCTCCACAACCAACGTCGACCCTCAACCACCACCGTCCATCACCACTTGACCTCCACTGTAACCACCACCACTATCGACTACCATTACCATTGCCCACCACCACCACTATCCACCATCTTCATGTCCTCCACAACCACCAACCATCATTGCCTCTACCTCCACAACCACCATCGACGACCGACCACCACCTCCATCTTCATCATAACCACCACCATCAATTATATTAAAATTTTCAATTAAATTTGGCACTATTATGTGTATGTATTCATGTATATGAAACTTGTATAAAAATATTTATAAATAAATTATTTACTTTATTTATGTTAATTATAACTATTATATGATATATAAAATCATCAAATAATTTTTGAAGACAATTTATCTAGTTATGTCATGTCCAGTCCTAGTCGTATCAAACACAAGTCAGACACTTGTTTTGTCCAGTCTTATTCCGTCTAGCTCTATCCTTTTGTCCCATCATGTCCCGTCTAATCATATCTGCGTATTTGAATTTTTTTCATATTTATTTTCTCTCAAAAGAAGTCTTGAAAATCAATGGTGCCATTAAATTGTTGTTTATAATTCTTTTAGTTAAAATATATTTCAAAGATTCTTTTATCAATATATTTATTAAAATATATATCAAATTAAACGTTTCATCATTGCAAAACAAATAAAACATTTAAGGGATTGTTGAAGGAATATGATATGATAGATTTTATGTGTTCTTTTTCCACAATATATATTGACAATAAATTCCACATCAATGTTTTTCTTGAAACCAAACGAATACAATAATTTTCATGCAGAAATAGGATCACACAAAGATAAAGTCTAGATGTAAATTAACTACCTGATGGAGTGGTTAAACCATGCTTAGAATACCTATACATAATTATAGGTATATATATAGACTTGATATCATATGACATCACTTTTTTATACTTGAAACTTCATAGCAAAACGCTATGAAGGTAACCTTCACAGTGTTTTTGCTGTGAATGTTTGGTTTTTTTAACTTTCACAACGTTTTGTTATGAAGTTTCAAGTATAAAAAAATGGTCTCATGAAAACATGTTGGTCTCACATAAATCCAAGCCTATATACACACACACATAGTTAAACCTTGCTTAGAATACCTATATATAATTATATATAGAGAGAGGGGGGGGGAATGTTCAATTTCCCTTTTGATTGCAAACAGAGTAACCACTGTAAGCATGCCACATATCCATATTCATCATGAATATTGGATGTGATTTTTTACATCAATAATGAATGTCTTGAACACGTGACACACTGTCGGTGCTTCCCTGGTTTGCAATGGAAATACAGTTCTCAACTGAACCTGTCCCTATATGTATATAACCTAATAGATCCCTTAATTTGAATTGTAGACACAGGCAAGTATTGTCTAAAAGAAAAGGAATGAGGCAACATTTACAGACACCAAAGCCATTTAGACAAAGGAAAAGAGAGGGTTTGTGCTTACCCTTCAAGAAAGGTATCAAAACCCTTTTGACTATATCATAATCTCCCCAAGATCTTCACTTCACTTTCTTATTTAGTTTTAGGGCAAAGAAAAGGAATCACAACCCTTCAAATTTCTTTACCAAAAGTATCAACAAGACAAAGCTAAATAAAATAATAATAATAATAATAATAATAATACAGAAATGAAGGGTTCTGCATAACATGCAGAGATGCCAGAAACCAGAATTTTAGAACCAGGTCCTTTGAACAACTTGATTCGATTATGGTGTCTAATCGGTGCTTATTACAGCTAATGATAACCCACAAAAAGTTGATGTAGCCTTGATACGTTAAATAACTAAGGTCGATAATTGAAACCTGAAAGTATGGAGTAACACGAGAATCTGTGATTAAAAGCCGCCGGGTCTGCCTCTATCCTGCATCTCAGCAGCCTGCTGGTCCTTGAGTTTGTCGGCAATTTCTAGGATTCTGGGATTGAAGAATCGGTCATGGACATATCTCTTCTCTTCAGCTTGTATCTGCTTTACAGCACTAGGATATGGGTTTGGAGGGGGTTTGGTTCCTCTAATCCGTGCGATTTCTTTCAATCGTTTGTATGCCTTCTTTTTGGCTTTTTTCTGTAGCCGATACTCCGTCTGTAAACATGGATGTAGATATGGAAGAACTTAGAAGTTGATGCTACATTTGCTTGAAACACTTAAAACCAAACCAAATGAATCCAGTATATCCCACCTGGAGGGGTCTGGGGAGGGTAAGATGTACGCAGACTTGAACTCTACCCCAAAGAGTAGAGTGGCTGTTTCCATGAAGAGTTACGAAGGTTAAAGTTTCTAGCTACTTACATCTGCTACATCTAGAGCATCCTCTTCACTAACACCATGCTCCTTTAACTCTAGCACCCGGCAACCAAATATACGTGATGGAGTCGGGTCAAAATCACGAATGCTTTTATCGATCAGATAAAAATGTGAGTATTTGTCATGAAGATTATTGTAATGCATACAATCTTTAAATACAAACAAGGCAAAATGCATCAAAATGCAATAAAGTTTGTTTTAGTTATATTTATTGTAACAAAGATCTTTTCTCCTCGATAGAAGTAACGAAGTTTCAAAATTTCCTATTTTGTACCAAATTTGACCAATAGACTGCTGATCTTGTAACATGTAATGACATGGATACCCGTTTCCGAAAGGATTACAAAAACGTGAATGATAACCTTCACATCCATAACCACAAGGGTGGTGCCTGGTTGGTTTGAGCTTGGCTCCAAAGATCAAAAGTACCTGGAGATCCCAGGTTCAAATCCAAGCAGGAATAAAAATCCTCTTGTGACCAATGAGGTTCAAATGCGGCGACTCCGGGCTATCTGCAAAGCAGGTGGTCACCCTGGAATTAGTCGGCTCGCATAGCGGGTTGGATATCCAGGTTAATCAAAAAAAAAACTTCACATCCATGCCATCAAATGTTACAAGATCAACAGGTTATCGGTCAAAATGGGTAAAAATTTGGGAACTTGTTACATTGATTGAGAAAAAAAATTATTCGTTACACTAAATAAAGGCTAAACTAATTTTTTTTGCATTTTGATGTATTTTGCATATATATGTGCAGATGAATGCACATTTAAGATATCCTTGATTCACATAAATTAGAAAATCAAATTCAAGCTACTTACTGTGTGTAGCACTTGATGCAAACAAATAACTCAAGCAAGTAAGAAAGATAGCAATTTTGCTTTACTCCACTTTCTGGTTTTACTTGTTTATAATATAATATGCAAAACCGCTCAGTCATGGATTTTCGTTCTTGATAAATCTTCACATTATGTCCAGGTATAAAGGCTCGTCAAAACAAAAAGCTGAATCATAAATATTTCTCACATTTGAGAGATGTCAGTGAATCCACTCACAGTTTCTTATCATATATTACAAGCCACGGTCATTTCAAGAACAAGTTCAATAGGTGAATGGATGTCCCATTCCTTCTGAAGTCAATCGGTAGGGATGATAACATATAAGTGGCATTGTTGAACCAACTTAACACAGCTAAAGCACCAATTTACATACAGCAATAACGTCAAAATCAAGATTAACCATCAAGGTAAATTTGCAGCAAAACATTGAGGCACTAGACTTGATTAAATAATTTCTACTCAAAATATGCACATGAAACTATATCTTTGCAAGAAAAGTGAATGCTTTGAAATTTTCCAATTCATAGAAGCAGAAATCAAACTTGAGAGTTAGTGTGAGTTTCCAAGATTTGTGCTGTTTGACAAGTGTAAATCTTACACACGAAAAAATGATCCTATTCCAAGTTTCCAACACCATACAGTCCTAAAAGTAATTCTTATATTACTCATAAAAAATATAAAGCCAACTTTCGATTTAGAGCTACCATTCACAAAGGAAATTGACAGAACATTGCACTTAAAAACAAGCTAAGGTTGGATAACAAATACAAAAATGACTGACAGTAAAAGAAATATGGTCAAAGAAGTACTTGATAGGATCTTCATGCAATGATTCAGGATGCTTTTTATAGAACTTATTGATATAAGCATCCTCTGGGAGGCAGATGCGCTCAACTTTCTTTTCAGCACGAGGAAAGACCGCCGGTGGGGACCTACACAATTTCATTTTACATCAAAGTCCAGTAAATTACTAGTGATACATCTAATGCTCAATCTCACATCATCTTATCACTCTGCTTTTTGTACAACATTTAATTAATCAAAGAGCCAAACTCATATAATACTACATATAGAAGTTATATACTGGAATTAACTTCCAACATATTACAAACCACCTTTGATATAATCAAAAACTTACAAAACTTAAGAAAACAGGGTACATACTTCTCCATAGCTTTAAGCCAAACAGGCTTCACCTTGGCCAAACCATTTACTAGCTTTCTTGTTCTTGTAAGCAAGTCACCTTTTGTAAATGACATAGCTTTACTTCTGCAACAACAGTTTCCCAGGTGTTCAATTTCTGGTATGAACAAAAGAAAAACATGATCTCCACTCCCTTCAGTTTAAACGAGATTACAGAAAAAAGACGAATGAAAATAATAAAATCCAAGGCAGTGGCATATCCAGATATCCAAAACATGGTATTCACTATCCAATATATATAACATATATAAAAGCCAACAAAATAGAACCACAATTTCAAAATAACAATGAATTGTCTATAAAAAACACATGGTATCAGATTAATAGTTCAAAACACATATCCAAATAAAATTTACAATTGCCCTTGTTGAGTTTCACATGTTGGAAGCGATTTATAATATCATTATTGCTAACTTTAAAGTGTAAGATACCTTTCTCTACATAATTAACTAAAACTTGCAAGAATGGAAATCTACTATTAAAGACTAAAACTAGATCCCCTAAATCAAAGCAAATATCTATGTTATAACTCAATACTACAAAGTCTACATTATTATTCTTTCTCATAGAAGCATTATCTTGGCTATGTTTGGTTCAAATTATTATCCTTTCAGTTCTACCATCTCACTATTGAAACCTAAAGCAAAACAAACTTCTCATAACACAATACATAATTACATTTTAGCTTTCAAAATTTCATTCACTGTTGTGAAGCTATTACTTGATTAGCTAGTAAAGCTAGGATGAATTCATGAAGAACCATGTTACATTACACTTGTTTTTGTCAATCACCAAATAAGGCCAAACATTTTCAAGATTATATATTATATAATCAACTAATGTCTAATTTTTTTTTTTTGATTAACCTGGATATCCAACCCGCTATGTGAGCCGACTAATCCCAGGGCGACCACCTGCTTTGCAGATAGCCCGGAGTCATCACATTTGAACCTTCGTGGCCACAAGGGGATTTTTATTCCTCCTTGGATTTGAACCTGAGACCTCCTGGTACTTTTGACCTTTGGAGCCAAGCTCAAACCAATCAGGCACCACCCTTGTGGTTATTACTTCTCGAATTACCCTCCAGGCATTTGAAACGATTGAACAAAGATTAAAACTAATTACATAAGAGCACTCGCAAAGAGGCATACAAAAACGGCATCCATATTTAATTGTAATGAAGCACCACAGACCTCAAAGTCTCCCATACTTAAACTGTAAAAGAGTTTTATTTAATTCATACTTCAAAATTATCCACTATATATTATAAGTCTTGGTTTTTGCATATGTCTGTGTTGTGATTGTGAATGCATGTTTATACAACTGCAATCGTGGATGTTCATACCTACATTGTTTGCTAGTAATAAAACCGATATCCAACATGCGTTAAAGCTAGATTACACCTAAATGCTTTATAATGCACGCTTAAAACAAAAAAGAAATTTTGTGCTACTATATAGCATAATCGATAACAATTTCATCTTTAGAATGTAACAAGTTAAACCTTAAAATCCCAAAAAAAGATCTTAAAGATAACTACTTCACTTGCCTGAATCACTTGTTGAGGAGGGATTATCTGGAACTTTCTCGTCATCAGCGTGATTTCTTCTAGCACGCTTATTCATAATCCTCCTCGGGGATTCATTTGTTCTTGGACGGCTGAATCCTGTAACATGATTACAAATTAAATCAAATGAAAACAAAAAGGAAACAAAAAGAGAGGTATAAGTCTTACCCCGTTTTATGGCAAACCTTGATTTAGCCATAAGATTTCAACTTAATATTTAGAAGATCGATAAGAGAAACGGGCAGAACACAAGCCTTCTAATCCCAGGAGCCGGACCTAGTTTTTTATACAAATATGTCACATAAACGAGTCTAATTTGCATCAATGTAACAGATATATATAGGTCACATAGGAGTCTAATTTCCTTCCATGTAACAGATATATATATATATATATATATATATATTCAGGGCCGGTCCTGAGATTTTTGGTGCCCACGACGAAAAGTCCAAATGATGCCCAATTAAAAACATCCAAATGTGGTAATTTACAATTGTCTAGCTTTTTCCTTCATAGACCGAGAGATCCATTAGTGTTTTTTGTTCATAAGTGTGATCTTATAGTTTAGTGTTTACTTTAAAATAATATATTAAGGTTTCGTTAATCAAGTTGTTAAAACCCTTGCGTTTAAACACCAACTCATCTACTTGTCCAAAACCAAAATAATGAATAATCCTCGACCCATATTTAGGATGCAATTATTTTTAATTACAGAAATGTCCAGGACCTTACATCTAAAAGGTAACAAGTACCTGCAAACAGGCTTTGCTGCTTACTTCTTGCATTTATTATATTGTATTGCATGTTGCTAGAAAGACATGTAGAATGTTTGAGATGGTAAGAAGATAGAAGCGAAATTCTGCTTCCAATTGATTTATGGTTTATGGCATTTTTTGAGGGATACCATTTCCTTCAAAGTTGATTCTTTGTGTAAATGATGTCAGCATGATCAAGCTTAGCACACAACAACAGTTATCTGCTTTCTCGGCTACATTTACAAATTCTGTGTAGTGCAGGGAGCGTTCTTTTAAGTGGATGACTGGTCTGTTGGGGGGCATGTATGTAAGTTCTTGTGATTGAGTATTTGAGTGGCTTGCTCTCAAGTCAACCTAGTTTTTGTTGATTAAGGGCTTGTTTGTTAGCAGCTTATTGGGTCAGCTATATATGGCTGTTTGGTAGTGGCTTAATGATATTGAAAGTGGCTTATTCAATAAGCTTTTAGGGGGAGCTTTATGCAGAAAGCCAAGTTGTTTCCAACCCTGCCCCTCCCAGTTAAAAAGCATGCTTCTTTCATCTATGAAAGAACCCCTCCCAAACAAAAACCTTCCAATATATACAAGTAGATTAATTCAGGCAAACAGTTTTATCCATACAAGACTTGATGGGAAACCAACCAAACAGCTCCTAAGTGAATATACGCTAAGGTGGAGTTTGTTGACAGTATTTCCTGTAAAAATGGAGCTGTTCCAAGTTGAAACAGGTAGTGGGTCTCTGAAGGACCTATTAAGTGTTGCATAGAAATAGCTATGCTTCAAATAGCTTGTATAAAAGAGCATGTAGTCTACTTGGTGGTGTGCATGTAAACTAACTAGGTGCAAGTAGTCTCACCTCTCGACTACTGTGAAGCGTACAAATGAGCCAACAGTTGTACTTATTTTTGTGCCTGATAACTTCCTTTTTCTCCCAATCTTCCTCATTTGGGTTCTCAACCTACATTTCCAGATTTCCTTGAATGTTTGGATTGTGGTGATTGGCTACCTAAACAAAAATAATTTGAATCTAGTCACAAGAAGTTTACTTGCTTTATGATGTTAAACTATTGTTTTCTTACTTGAATTAGGCATACATGATACATTAACATTATACATACGGACTAACAGACATACAGTGAAGTGAATCAAGTGATACAGTAACAAGAATTAGAAACATAAATGACAAACCACAAAGGACCAATTTCACAGCTTCATACTTAGGCTTTGCAATCAAACAAGAATTAGAAACATAAAAAATAAAATAAGTAACAGACATATAGTGAATTATACATACATCTTTAACAGAAATACAGTGAAGGACTGAAGTGAATCAAGTGATATAGTAAGTAAGTAACAAGAATTAGAAACATAAATGACAAACCACAAAGAACCAATTTCACAGCTTCATACTTAGGTTTTGCAATCAAACAAGAATTAGAAACATAAAAAATAAAATAAGTAAAGTAAATAACCCTAAGTCCCTAACCTCACAAGTCACAACTCACAAGAGTCAAGATGCGAGAGCGAGAAGACGAGAGCCGGTCGGCCGTCGGCGGTCGATAGTCGAGACTCGAGAGAGGCAGAGAGTGAGAGCGAGAGCGAGAGCGAGAGCCGATTGAGTCAAGGCCGATTGCGATTTCGATTCGTGAATCGTGAATCGGTTTCTGTTCGTGAGTTCAGTGAGCGAGGCGATGGCGAGAGTCGAGGGAGTGAGGGAGAACAAATTGCGCTTTGGGCTTTATGCTGCCCTGGGTCGTCGCTCTCGGGTCTATGGTCAGGGCCGGCCCTGCTAAGTGAGACCAAGTGTCTGCACCATATCGGCTAAGGGTATCCCATATCAATAATTCAATATTAGTATTCATTTACTATTTCTTTCTATAAACACCTCTGCCTAGTATCTGATACCCTGTAAACCAAACAGATTCGGTGGCCGTTTACTAAACGTTTACGGGGTCATTCACCTTACTAGATGCATATGGCAAGGGTCGGGAATCTTACCTGGTAAAAGCAATGATAAGGATGGAGAGTCTTACTCAGTAAGTGCTTACCGAGTAAATTGTTGCAAACAATACCATTTTGATGGACTATAATCTTACTAGGTAAGTAAGTAAGTAAGAATGTTGACTCTTACCTGTAAGCTCTTACCGGGTAAGCGTTTGGGTAAAAGGCCCCTAAGTATATCCCACTCGAAATCTAGGACAGAGTAAACGGCCTCTAAGTATATCCCACTTGAAATCTAAGACAGAGTAAACGGCCCCTAAGAATGTTGACAGAGGTTTTATGCTTCGCTTTCAAATTCTCATTATGTAGGACAGACTACAGGGAAATAAGAACCGCAAAATATTGCATTTCAACCAAAAATCTATTGTAGCTATAAATCTATAAAGAATGTAATCAAGATTATCAAAGGTACCCTTTCTAATAATTTATATCAATACAACACTTTCCAATGAATGCCATCAAGATTATCAAAACTAGATGGACTTGTTCTGCCAAATAAGGAAAATTAAAAGAAAATTATTGAGATTTTAGAAAATCATTCCTAAATCACGCTGAAATTTAGGGATCATTCTCAAGGGTGTAAGGAAGTAAACGTCTTTGTAATTTCGAAATTTCATCAAAAAAAATGAGAGAGAGATTAAGTTTGGAGCGGCTTAGGGTCATTATACACAAAAACAACGACCGGAGGTAAAATACTTAACCAAAATTGATGTATAATATATGGTTGGCTTCTTTTTCAACTACTTTTCCACTCATATAAGTTTCATGGGCTAGGATGGGTTGTACATCGAGCGGTTTTGGTTATAAGCTGCTCGGGCTGCGGGTTAACGAGATTCGGGTACAAAAAACTCAAAATATGAGTTTAATAACGGACCACAGGGGCTGTAAATTGATATATGAGTTGGGATGGTTATTATCTATAAACTTTTGTAAAAAGTTTGGTGAAAAACAATTGCGAAACTATCCCAAACGAGGGCCGCTCACAACAGCTACACCAAAGGTGCAACCAGGTCGGGTCGGGTGTCAAGTTGGGCTGACCAACGACCATCGAGGTGTTGGGTCGTGGCTTTGGGTTGATCCCAACTTGTCTTGGGTCATTTTCGTGTTCGAGTCATTTCTTGAACCGGTAATTATTAAATGAGATTTGAGTCTCGTTTATTCACTTGGATTAATTGAAATAAATAAATCAGTATGTTTCGATTAAGTTGGTTAAAATTTAGGCATCAAATTAAAAGGAGTGTTAATTAATTGGATTCTTACATTTTTTTGGAATTTAGTATTAATTAGATTATATGTTATTAATTATTCTAACTTATTTAATTATTTAAAAAAAGGGTTATTAAAGGGGTCATGACGGAGTAAATGTGGGATTGCACATTTTCAAAATGAGAGACATATATAATTATAAGTTGGATTTAATACGCATAGGGAGTGTTTGAGATTGCTTATAAAAACAACTTATTGACTTATTTCGGTGTGGCGTCAGTAATAAACACTTTTGAGTGTTGGATAAACAATTTATATCAGTGCCAAACCGGTAATAAAAAGTTTTTGAAGAAGTTAAAACATTCTGACTTATAATAAGTTGATAAGTGCTTTTATAGAAAAACATAAATTGTTTCATATAAGCAATCTCAAACACCCCCATAATTTATTTTTTGACTTTAAGTAGTCTGTACATGGTGATGAGGTACGCTTGGGGTTGACATATTGACCATGTGTTCTTTAAACTATTTAAAGAGAAAAGAAGGAAAATATCATTTATGTTTCCTCTCAAAATATGGGTGGAAAAAGAAGAAAAGAAAATCTAAAAATACATCGTAAAATCAATAGGAAGTATAACGAACCAAAAAAATGAAAAAAAAAAAATCACCATTTTTATTAATCGTTATTTATTTTTCAGATTCAAATGACACTCAAAAATATTTGTTATGATTCTGTGATTGTCATTTAAATCTGAAAAATAAAATAAAATAATAAAATTTTATTTTATTTTCATTTCAATCTAAAAAATAATTAATGGAAGATATTTAATTAATTATTATTATTAATTCTATTATATTTTATTACTAATTTATTGATGTAAAGAAGTGTATATATCTTTAGTTTGATGAGTGTAAGAACCTAGTTTCAAAAATTAACTAGAAACTTAAGGTTCGTTTATTAAACACTTATTTGGTAAGTGCTTAATGTCATAAATTTCCTTATTGGATAAACATGAAAATGGCCAAAAATCTTATTGGGTAAAAGCGATGAAAATGATGGAGAGTCTTACCCGGTAAGTGAGGATGATGACTTTTACCCAACAAATTGTTGCATTCGATATGTTTTGATGTACTAAAATCTTATTCAACAAAATTAATTATAGTGTTAACTCTTATTGATAAACGTTTATCAGATAAGTATTTAGGTAAACAACCCCTTAATCACATGTGAATTCAAGTCGATTTATTTCAGAGAATCTGATTATGATTTCATACTTTTAAAATATAAAAATTTATTGATTTAAAGAAAGTTTATTAATTTGTTTATTTAATTTTAAATTTTTTTTTATCTTTTTCATTATTTTCCAACCTTTCCTTTTTTTAAATGCATTTTTTTGTGTTCAAAATACGTGTCAGCGCCGTTTCGGCATGCACACTTAGTGTTGAGGGGTTAATAATAATAATGGATCAAAATTGAAGAAATCTAACTGAACCGCCATCGTTGTACAACTCCATAGCGGCACGTCTCTCACTCTCTGGTAAGCTTCTATCCTTCGCTCTCGCTGCATTTACTATGTGTGTTCATGACTTTGCTGAATTCATCATGCATCTCTATATCTCTGCCTCGTAATCTACTCACATGTTTGTGCAATTAAGCATTATGTTGTGTTCATACAGTTGAATTTGTTTTAGTGTGTGTTTGTGCTACATAATTTGGTTGTGCAATGATGTATTAGGATGGTTTTTTGGTTGAATTCAGTTTGAAGTTGATAGGGTTTATGTATAGCTTATATGATTCTCCCTTCGTCCAAGTATACAAGAGAATTCTGCTAGAAATTTGAATTTTGTGAAGAATTATCATTCTCGTTGTTGATAAATCACATAAATGCGGATTGTCATGTTTTATATAATTCTATTAGGTATACAGATGGATGAGAATTTTTATTTGTATGATGTTTAATCACCAGTAATTAATATATACATTAATATGTTTTTATTATCATAAGAATGTTTATGGAACTCATGTTTTCTGGTATTTGGCTAAGGATTTGTATAGGGTGATGAGTTTTCATCAATTGAGCACTTGTGTTTTCGAATTCAATTTTGGTCCTATAATTTGGAACCACAACAAAAAATATAATTGTTTTAAAATTTTGGAATGGAGTGACAACTATCTGACCTTAATGAAGATTTAGATAGAATATCCCCTGAAGTTTGATACATTACAATGATAAGATGAGACTGGATGATAATAAGACTACTCTTGTGTATCTTCGTAGAAGACCGTAAGTCCTTATCTAGGTACAAAAAGGACATTACGGGGTATCTCCAAAATTCGATGTACTTCGTGCAGGACACATCTCATGCCACCACCAGTACACTCTTCCACTACAGATGCTGAAAACCCGATTTCTTCCAGCTTGATCTCATATCTTCCTTAGGGTGCTTCCGGATGTCAACTCAACCTGAAGGAAATTATGCGGAAGCTTTACAGAGTTATTATGAAGCTATGTGACTAGAAGTTAATCCTTATGACCCAAGTTATATAATGTATAACATAGGACTTATCCACATAAGTAACGGAGCATATCCATTGTGTCCAAATACAGCTTTTCGGGAGAACCTGTAGGTATTATTGCACGTCAATCTATTGGAGAATCGAGCACTCGATCAACATTAAGAACTTCTCATACAGGCAGAGTATTCACAATCTGCTTTCTTACTTAAGATCCTTCACTGTGGGACAAGTCATATAGGTGCTTTTACCTGTTTAGTGTTTTGACTTGTACAAATTACTTATAATTCCATTGTTAACTTGGGATGTCAACTAACTTGAAAATCTTTTGTTTTCTATGAATGAAGAAGGTATAAAGTGAGATTGATTCTCCAACATGAAGTTTGGCAAGGAGTTAAAGCAAGAAAAGGTGCCAGAGTGGACTGAAGCCTACATGGACTATAATGGTCTCAAAAGAATATTACAAGAAATCCAACAATTCAAACAGCATGAGCGACCTCCATCACCATTGAGAACTTCACAGAAAAGGTTACCACTATACAGACCCTTTAGTGGTGTAGATGTACGAGCTAGCTTTGAAGAGAGTACAAGTGATGTCGAGGACCGAGTTATAGCAGTTGAAACTGTGAAGGAAGATGATACTAGAGAAGTGTACAGCACCAACATTCTCATGTCACCTAAAGGAGGAGGACAAAGTGAGATTACGTTTTTTCAGAAGCTTGATGAGGAGCTTAACAAGGTTAATACCTTTTATAGGGACAAGGTGGAGGAAGTGATTGAGGAAGCAGCTTCATTAAATAAGCAAATGAAGGCTTTAATAGCATTGCAGATCAAGGTGGAACCGCCAGATATAGATGAATGCCATATTCAGAGAAACAGATCTATGGATAGTGGTTCAGAATCCTCGAAATTCACCTCTCCGAGTAGAGTGGAGATGTTAGGTATGTGCGGTATGAAAATATTTGTATTAGAAAAAGAAATTCTTAAAGTGACAGGATGCCTACAGGTGTCTAGGACATGCGGTTAACAAGGAGAGTATCAAAAGGTAACACAAAGATTGCATATGAAAACATAACCTGTCATAAACACATTTATATAATGATACAAAGGTTGGGTGTAACAAATGCAATTATTTTTTGAAGAAGAACATCCAATCTGATGCTGATCAGGAGAATGTTCCAATTTGAGAATTTGAATACAAGTCTTTATACTTGATGTACTCTGGTAAATGTAGATAAAGGTTATGTAGTTCCCATAGGTGATAAAACAAGTTAGAATTTCATACTTCACCACGTCACTACAAATCATTATTGTGAATGGTAAGACAACATTTAATGGCAAAAATCATTAAAAGCATTTAATGGAAAAAATACCTAAAATATTTAACGGAAAAGGTCATTGAAGCTGTACACAGAATGATTGTTATAGTGATCATACTTTATCAATTATCATGATTGTTATTTTACTGCATTCTAACTTCCATTCTATATTATGAGTCCATAATTAACAGGAGAAAGGCATCTGGTTGAGGAACACCAGATCGAGATGAATAATTGGAAACAGCTGAAAGGGTCTTCTGCTTATCCCACTGGTTAGAAACACTCTTATTTGAATCCTATAATTCCATGTTACTCAATATTGTCTTTCGACATTTAAAATTGAAAGAGTTTTATATTGCAGAGGACAGACATATGGATTCCAAATTTGATGTTGACAGGATCAATCATTGTGGACCAGGTGAGTCTGGTTCCCCTGTCAATAGGGGTGCTTCCATAAATTCTGCTGCTTGCGGAAACGGACCAAGTTCTGATAAGTATAAATCAGATCCCTTGGATGTCCTTGACCATGTGAAGATTAACAATACTCTTGAAAGCCCAATGTCAACAATCAGAAGTGTCCTCAATGATTCAAAAGACAAGGATTTGAGTTTTACGAAGGAGGAGCTAAAAGAAGCGGAAGGGCGACTGAAAGTCGCCTTTATTGAATTCTACCGCAAGCTTCATCTTCTGAAGCATTACAGGTGGTAAATGAATAATGAAATTTGAAAATATATATTGATGTTTGACTGTTAGATGGCATCTGTAGTGAGTTAAACCATGACAGTTTTCTTTTTGTTCAATAATGGAACAGTTATGTAAATCTCCTTGCATTTTCGAAGATAATGAAGAAATATGAAAAGGTAAGGAAACTACTAAAATACTCGAAACCTATTATGTCTTTCTTTTTTAACAAACAAAATGACTGCATTCTGAAGCCAGGGCCTTTCTAGAGGTATGATCATGAATGGATTAAAGCTGCTCTATGTTTCATACTGTTACTGTATGTGCAGATTGCATTAAGAAGGGCAGCAAGGTCATACATGAAAATTGTGGATGAGTCTTACATTGGGAGCTCTGATGAGGTTTGCTCACATGTTTATTTTCCTAGGATGTTATGGTAGGATACCTGGAGTGGCCAAAAGACCCAAGGATTCATATTCAATCCAGAATTGATCTAGTCAGCCTGACACATGTGTGGTTTGGATATGGTTCTTGGGCCTTGAGCCAGTTGGTTTCCTAAGTATTGTGTTGCATCATTTTCCAAATAAGTTTTTTTTTTGAAGAATATAATATTTTTATACAGCAAATAGAACAAATAAACTCACATACCCTCCTCTCCAAGGACTCATATACCCTAGGCCAAAGGCCCTTTGATTTTTCCAAATAAGTTATACAAGCATCTTTATCTCCCTAGAAAGTAACAACATAATTAATGTCTTCTTTCTTCATTGATGAGAAAACGTCCGTTTAGAAAGTAAATAATGGAACAAATCAGTTAAGCTAAAGCCTCATCTGTTTTCCTCTGTTCATATGGTTATATCTAAATCATCTTGATTCTGCTATGCTGTTTATCAAAGGGGTTTGGATGACCTCCACGAGAAACCAAGTCATAGTAAGATGTTCTTGCAACATCCTTCAATTTGCAGCATCACAATATATCCTGTGAGATGCAGAATACTTTTACTGGTTTATATTAGTTCTTGATGAAAATGCTTTCTAGAGATTTATCAGGATATACTCACATGAAAATACTTGTGCTTTTTCTCGTGCAGTCTAGCTTTTAAATGATAATATGATGCATTATATCAACAGAAAGTACATACTGACAGTTCACCTTTTCCAATAAAGTATAAACCTTATGCTAGCATTAATCTGTTGAAGGCTGAAAAATATAACCTATGGCAGGTGCACTAATTGACATAAATACAAGATAATTCATTTTGAAGAGTTATTAATTTATTTTTTATATCCAACAGTTGCCTTTCACTGAACTAGCAGAGCTTGATGAAGCAGTTACTTCATTTCTAAGGAGGTTGTTTGTTTTTTCCTCAGATACCATTTTCTTGTTAATAGAAAGTTTACATAAAAGGATGAAGTTGTCTATCTTCTACGGTACAGGTCTCACATGTGACCACTTAAAACATCACCTTTTTAAGCCTAGGGTCTTGCTGACATCGCATTTGCTTTTCCGTCTCTGCATGGGAATTTTTCTATTGGACTTCCTACATTATTATTATCAGTTGTCAAGACCAAGAAGTTTGCAATTAAATTTCCATCATTATTGTTCATTGTCACAATATTGGTTTATATAACTATATTCAAGATCGGCTGTGTTTTCTCCTTAATGTTGGCAAAAGAAGATTTATTAATAAAACATTGTTTTGTGTCAAGTCTAACGAGTTTTTCTAACATCTCTGTTATAACAAAATCACTTACAGTCGGATAATATGCTCCATTATACTAAGTGAAGAAAATTTCATACCTAACAATCCCTTCATCACATGGTAGGTCATAGTAGTTTCTCGATTCTTTATGGTTGATGCGCTCCCTCCATGGAAGATGACAAAGCTTCCAGAAGGCATGGAGCGTTCACAAAATCTATTAGTTGTTTTTTTGAAGTATAATATTTATATACAACAAATGAAACAAATAAAATCACACACCCTCACCTTTTGTGAAGTTTGAACCCCTGACCTCCTAGGAGGCCAAAGGCTCTGATACCGCTAGGTCAAAGGCCCTTTGATCAAAATCTATTAGTTCTTGTAGGTAATGTGTGATATTCTAATGTTTTAGGTTACTCTTCTCCTGGATCGAGTAGAGGGTACCTTCCTTAAGTACTTTGCAAACTCTAACCGTAGAGAAGGTATGAAATTGTTGAGGCCAAAACGGAAGAGAGAAAAACACAGGATAACATTCTTTTCAGGTACATAAGGTCAACCATCAGCACAAGCATTTACTCATTTCAATTTTTAGATATCATGATTTTTGCATCAAAGAAAAAGATGCCCTGCAAATATGTCTCTTGTACGATTCAATATAATGCCATGCCCTGACAACTTCAGGATTCTTTTCTGGTTGCTCAATCGCTCTCCTGATTGCCGTGGTCTTACTAATACAAGCAAGGAGAGTAATGGCCAAAGAGGAGCATACCATGTATATGGAAAATGTTTTCCCTCTTTACAGGTGATGCGAGTTCTAGTGATTATTTTACTACAAACATAGGAAATGATATCCTCTTCTGGTATATTGAATTCTTGATTTACTTGCAGTTTATATGCATATATAATCCTACATATGCTTTTGTATGCTGCAAATATATACTTCTGGAAGCGCTGCCGGATCAACTACCCCTTTATATTTGGTTTCAAGCAGGGAACTGAATTAAGCTACCAGGATGTCTTTCTTATCAGCACTGGTCTTGCAGTACTCGCACTTGCCACCTTTCTGGTGCACCTGCACATGAAAGTAGATTCTGTCAACTCAGTCTATAAAAACTATATAGAATTAGTTCCATTGGGATTACTCATTGTAAGACATCACACCATCTCTTTACTTTTTTAGCACAATGATCCCAAATCTCTAAATTTGTTTTCTTCATGCAGGTTGTTCTTGCCATCTTCTCCTGTCCTTTCAATATCTTCTACAAATCCAGTCGTTTCTTTCTTATCCGATGTGTACTCCGTTGTATTTGTGCTCCTCTCTACAAGGTATTTATGTTCCATAAAAATCTTAATACAAAATAATCCAAGCTATATCCATGTTAAAAGTCAAGAAATGTTTAGAATCTCAAAAGTTGCATGATGATGGTAACTAAGGCAGAATGGTGGTTACAACAGGGAACATGTCATTTACAAGTTAAATCTAGAAATAAAACTTCTTTAAATGGAATGTACTAGGATGTTCCATTTTTTGGAGAGTGTAATTGATTGGTGAGGTCTTTCGTGTCTTAAGCCAATGAATCTTGTTCAGATATGCATTTTTTTTTTTGCTGCAGGTTTCACTTGCCGATTTTTTCTTGGCAGATCAGCTCACTAGCCAGGTTCAGCATGATGGTAAATTCTATTGGTCAGTCATGTATGCATCCTCGTTATTAATTTACATCACATTTTGTTTGGCCTCAGGTCCAAGCCTTGAGGTGCATAGAGTTTTACATCTGCTACTACGGTATGAGATGGTACCAGAAGGAAGAGAAGTGTCATAGTCTGGATCTCTACAATTTCTTCTATATCATTGTAGCAGTTATACCATTTTGGATTCGCTTCCTCCAGGTTCCGTCATACTTTTTTCTCTTTTGTTAAACATCTCTTCCATTAGATGCATGATGGATATCTTAAATTATTGTTGTTTTTGAACTTCAACGTTTAAAGAGGATGCAAATTAATTAAGTGGTACATCTATGATAGTATTCATGCGAGTAAAGTAGCAATGGGAGATTGGGTTTGTCATGTCATCTTGTGGTAAGTATAACCAAGGGAGTATTTTCTCTAATGAACTGATAAAAGGACACTACAACAGAATATCTTTATAGGACGTCAAAGATATCTAAAATATGCAAATAGACCACTTTATAGGACTAAACAATTTTGCGTCCTATCTAAAAGTGTTACAGTAGGATGTTAAGACGTATTTGAGCATTCTAACTAGTTTCGAGGACACTTTACTTCAAAAATGTCCTATTAGCTTTTTTATACGATACTTAGAGAAGTGTCCTACGGAAATGTTTTTTAATAGGACGCTTGTTTTTTGTAAGACACTTTTCCAAATAATGTCATATAAAAAGACTAATAGGACGTTTATTTCAAAATTGTCCTAAAATTCTTGTTAGAAAGCCCAAAAGCGCTCTATCAACTTATTGCAACACATTTATATAAAATTCACAATTGTTGATCCTATAAACTTAAGTCCTACTAAGCTATCTATTACGACACTTAAACATAATATGGGCGCCCTATAAAACAAATTTTGTTGTAGTGGGAAGTGGGACTGGAGAAATGACTACTCTGGCCTAATTTGTTGAACAATCATCTCAGGAGCATCATTTTTCTAGCATTTCCAGGCTTTGCAAGTTAGAACCTGCTTGCAACTGAATAGAACCTGCTTGCAACTGAATATTTCTATACTAAGCAAATGTAGTAGAAATAATGATATAACATATGTGATTGTAGGATATTAGGTTTGTCACCATACAGTTTCATAAAGAGTATAAATTGACAAATGTTATGTACATGTAGTGTGTTCGTCGATTGTTTGAAGAAAAAGATTGGATGCACTTATGCAATGGTTCAAGATACTTCTTGACCATTATTGCAGTAGTAGTCAGAACCGTGTTTGAACTGAAGATGGACAGAACTTGGAAGGTCTTGGCCCTTGTGAGCTCAGTCGCTGCAATTTTGTTCAACACGTATTGGGATATAGTTGTAGATTGGGGCCTTTTACAAAGGAATTCAAAGAACTTGTTCCTTAGGGACAAGCTTGCAGTATCTCGCAGAAGTGTGTACTTTGTGGTGATGGTACAACGACAGTCTTAATCTTGTCCTTTTTACTTCTTCTCATATGCTTTCCTTCTAATATTTGATTGTATTGTTTTGCAGGTACTAGATGTTATACTGAGACTTACTTGGCTCCAATTAGTGTTGAAATTTAACCTGCGTTCCCTTAAAGGAACGGCCATATCAAGCTTATTTTCCTGCCTAGAAATTTTCCGCCGAGGAGTTTGGATGTTTTTCAGGTACTGTGATAATATTGTGACGGTAAATTAATCTAGCTATAGTTGCAACACTTAAAAGAGGTTTCTATAATTTCCTGCGGGTCTTTTGGATAAATGACCAAGTTTTCAGTTAGGAGCCTGACTTTCTAAAATGAAATTAGCTTAATGATTCATCTGATCTGCCCCTTGTTTTGCCCTTGATTCAAAACAACTTGCTCCCATAAAAACTTAGAAATACATTAGAGGGTCATTTTGCAAAATAAACGTCCGGAGAAAGGTCATTGAGCTAAATAGCCCATCTTAGTATTGCCTTGATATTTGGACATTCTAAACGTTAAAATTTGCAAACATCCATTTCTCCATGTTCTAAAAAACCAAATTTACTTGTCTAGTGCCCCTCTCGGGACATTTAGTATATATCCTTAAATGATATTTTAATTAAGTCTATGACCTTCTCACAACTATGAAGACATTTTTTTTATTAATCTGGATATCTAACCCGTTGCGAGCCGACAAATCCCAGCTGCTTTGCGGGTAGCCTGGAGACACCGCAATTGAACCTGCCACTTTTTGACCTTTGGAGCCAAGCTCAAACCAATCAGGCACCCCCCTCATTTTTTCTTTTACTAGGTCAGGAGGTTGTGGATTTAATTGAATGACCCTGCCCGGCTGCCCGCTTCCTCCTATTGGCTATTTTGTTAAATGACCTCATCTGAAGGTTATTGAGTTAAAAAAAAAAATTAAAGGTCGTGCTCTTAATTGAAACCACATTTAGGGAATGTTTGTTGGTAGCTTAATGAGTTTAAGGGGACCCATAGCTTATTCGGTCAACTATACATGGCTGTTTGGCAGTGGCTTAATTATATAGGAAGCTTCTTGGGGGGCTGTATGCAGAAAGCCGAGTTTTTCCCAAACCTGCCTCTTTCAATTAGAAAAAAACATGCCCTTCCATCTACGAAGAAAGCCCTCCCAAACAAAAACCTTCCCGATCTATAAAGACAACGTTATCCATACAATGCTTAATGGAAAACCAACCCAACAACCCCTTAAGTTCATTTAACAAAATAACCCTCGTGTCCATAGTTAACCCCCTGCCAAACTCCTGAACCAATAATGCAGTGATTCCACCCAGCCTCAAGCCTCCCTGAAGTGTTGTAATTTCAAGTCATGATACACTAGTCGAGAGCTTGAGGCTATAATGGTTCTATGACAAAGTCCATCTTCCTTCCTTGTAAATACACACATGCATGTAACCTCGTGTGTGTGTGTGCCCGCGCATATGTTTATAGGGAAAGGAAACGGCATGACTAATCATAATTCATGTATACAAACACAATCTTGATGTATAGTGACTGATGTTAGGATGGTTAGCCATTAGGCCTGACAAGGTTATGGTGTCTGAGCAGGTTGGAGAACGAGCACTTGAACAACGTTGGAAAGTATCGAGCATTTAAATCTGTTCCACTTCCCTTTAGTTATTATGAAGAAGATGACGACAACAAGGATGACTGAAATATCCTCTTCTATATTCAATGTAATATTCATTCCCAGCGCTCCATGTCTGACGTCTGTAAGCATAAGGTACAAATCTTACATCTATGAGGGGGGTGAAATTTTGTAGAGGATCTCAGGTATTAATCCCCTTTTTCATAAACCAAATCAAACAATACCCAATATATCTCTTTGGAGTATTATCTGGGAGGAGTATGATATACGCATTCCATTTCTTTACCTCAACAGGTAGAGAGGTTGTTTTCGTTTTAAGACTGGTTATCATCCATTGAAATAATGCATAATGCCCCGATGAGTTATGTCGCAAATTGATTCAGGCTTATAGTGCAGGTAGAGGATCCAACACAATTAGTAATTCGTTCAATGTTGTTATGTGGTATCTCTTTAATTTCAACTTCTCGAAGGTGCTGCCCGTGCTCCGTCTCGTCCTTGGAATAGACGAGTATGTCGTCAATGAACACTATTACCGATTTATCAAGGAACGGCCGGCACATCCGATTCATCAAGTCCATGAATACCGCTGGTGCATTCGTCAGACCGAAAGGCATGACCATGAACTCATAGTGCCCATAACGCGTTCTAAAAGCTGTCTTCGACACATCATCTTCTCTTACTCGAACTTGGTGATACCCCGAGCGAAGATCGATCTTAGAGAAGCAACTTGCCCCCTGAAGTTGGTCAAAAAGGTCGTCTATCCTAGGAAGAGGGTATTTGTTCTTCACGGTTGTCTTATTGAGTTCCCTGTAATCAATGCACATTCTCTAGGTGCCGTCTTTTTTTTTTTTACAAATAAGACTGGAGCTCCCCACGGTGACGAACTCGGTCTGATAAATCCTTTCTCCAGAAGGTCTTGCAATTGGGACATCAACTCTCGCATTTCGGATGGCGCCAAACAATAAGGGGCTCTAGCAATTGGAGCGGTTCCCGGAATGAGGTTGATCCGGAACTCCACTTGCCTAACGGGAGGTAATCCGGGTAAGTCTTCAGGGAACACATCGGGAAATTCATTGACTATCTTCACATCTTCAATTTTCCTCATCTCTGGCTTGGTGTCCAACACATATGCAATGAATGAGGAGCATCCTTTAGCTAGGCACTTACGTGCCTTCGCCATGGATAAGAGTACTACATTCCCTTTCCTTCCTTCTCCATAAGCTAGCACTGCGTCCCCGCTCGYCAAAGGAATTCGGATCAGCTTTTTAGAGCATAAGATTTCCGCTTGGTTCTCAACTAGCCAATCTATCATGATTATGATATCGAATCTGCCTATAGCCATGGGTATGAGATCCACCCGAAATTTCTTTTCTTCAATCCCCAAAACACAACCTCTAACAATTTCGCACACCAAAACTTGACTACCATTTGTTATCTCTATGATTAGTGCATCTTCTAGTGTACTAGGTGGCGTATGCAAGTGTTGATAGAATGCAGTGGACACAAAGGAACATGAAGCACCCGAATCAAAAAAGTACATGAGCAGGCACGGAGTTAACAAGGAACGTACCCAACATTACATCCGTCGACGCCTTAGCTTCTTCTCTCGACATCTGAAAGGTTTGACCGGTTGCTTTCAGGGCGCGCTCTTTTCTTCCTTGACTTCCACCTGTTTTCAACTTTTGGCAATCATTCTTGAAATGGCCCGGTTCCCCGCATCCAAAACATATGGGCCCCTTGATTGGACACTCGTTTCGTGTGTGGCCTGACTTCCCACACTTACAACATTTTGTGGGGGTATGATTGATGCTACACGGGCCGTGATGTTTGCTGCGGCATTTGGGACACCATCTTACCTCTTGATTGGGATGGGCTCCGCGATTGTTGTTGCCAAAGTGGTTTGGCTTTTTGGATGGTGCGTAGGGCCCTTCCCACTTCCTCTTCTCACCACTCGACAATCTTTCTTCCTTTCTCTTAACATAAACTGATTCCAAGACCTTGGCTTCTTCGATTGCCTCCCTGAGGGTGGATGCTCTTGAATTCCTTACCATTATCATCATGTCTGCAGGTAACCCTTTAAGGTAGGCTTTCATCTTATCTTTCTCCGTTGGGGCCACGTGTCCCACAAAGTTTAGCTTTTCCAAGAAGAGTCGGGTGTAGTCCCTTATTGACAAATTTCCCTTCTTCAGGGTTCGGAATTCTTCTTCGATGCGATCCATCTCTTGTTCATTGCAATATTCTTCCATTACTTTTTCCTTGAATGTGGTCCAACTCATCTTGGTCAATTCTGTAACCTCGATGGTCGAGATGATAATGTTCCACCAGGTAAGAGCTGCACCCCTCAGCATTTGGGAGCCAAACTTCACTTTTTGCCCTTCCTCGCAGTCACAAGCCCAGAAGGCTTGTTCAATCTCTCGAAGCCAATTTATGCACGCCACAGGATCATCCGTCCCCACGAATTCTGGTGGTTTGCAACATAGAAAGGTCTTGTAAGAGCAAACCTTACCCATTTGTCTCGCCGCAATCGTCACTAACTCCTGAGTTGGGATTCCGTTTCCGGTAACCCCAGATCCTCCAATAGTTATATTCTCGGCAACTGCCTCATGTTTACGGTTGTTAGCATCTCTATCATCCAACAACTTCATAAAGAACTCTTGTTGTTGGGTCATGGCTCTGTTCATAGCGTTCATCATGGTTCCCATCATTCTTGATTCCGGGGTTTCTTCTTCCATTACAGGGTTAGAGGTGGCCAGGTCGACTTGGGGAATGTGATCAATTTCACCGTCCAAAGTGCTTTGTCTAGGAAGTACTCTTGTTATTACAGTACGTGGTGGTTGATCCGCAGTAGATTCCGTTACCGCGTGACCTTCCGGTGAAGTGTCCCGTCTACTCCGAGTATTCACCATTTTTGTCTGTCATACGAGAGAGCGAACAGAATAAGAAAAGTTAGGGTAGGAAGAATGAGGAACTAAAATAATACGTACCGACACATTCATAATTCTTTGTAATAATAGTGAGTTCAAGCATGCTTGTGTAATAACTTACTCAAAATAGCATTAGCTAAGTGAAATTTTGAATGAGTTTACATAAGAATTCTTAACACCATCGTTACAACTCATGAACGGGGTAACTCCGATGACTCCGACGCTTTCCTATCTTAAAAGTTTCTACCCACATTTTACAATTAACACTTACAAGCTCAACTTAAGTCTAGGCGTCATGATCCCTTACCTAGTTCACTTAAATTAGTTCTCTGATACCAACTTGTAACACCCAAAATTTTTTATAAAAGTGTAATAACGAGAAATAAGATAATCTCAACCAGAGAATCCAAAAAAAAATCTCCCAATGATTTAAAATAGAAAGATCACCCAACAAAGGAAGTAATGCGTTTACAACTTGAAAATGAGACGATATAAAACTACCTAATAATCTAAACCTTTCTATGCCTAGATTAGGATCGGGTGTAAATACCGTCTCCAACAAAAAGAAATATAATTAAAATTGCAACGCTAGGACCAACAAGTACACCGTCTACAAAAATGGCTTTTACCAACGACAACTTCTCAACCCTTCGATACCCCGCCGCTAAAGGAACCTGATAAGCAACCAAGTCAAGAAAAGTGTTAGGCTTACGCCTAGTGAGTCCAACGAGGATAGGTGTAGATATAAGACTTTTTATTCAAGGACGGAAGTACATGCACTATTTAAATATAAATAAATGACGTAGTATCGTACAATATTTATATATATAAAGAAAATGAGTCAAAAATGATACGAGGGAGAGTCAAGACATCCGAAGATGACGGGGGAGACCCGATTTACCGTTAATTATGATGGAACACGAAGTGAGTCATAATTCGACGTTAGAGAGCATCGCTTGTAAGTTTAATACCATTGACCTCAACCTAGCCAGTCATGAAGTCGGTCGCGATCTTAAGCTCTTTACCTCGAAAATTACATACTAATCACAATGCCTATTTTCGAGTGGGAGCGTGAAGGTGGTTTGAAATTTACACAATAATCACMATGCCTAACTCCACTTCACACCATCCTTCACGCAAGAAAACAATGGAATGATCCTCCATGCCACTAGGCCTATTACATTCGAGTGACACACTTGGAAAGGTACCATAAGCTTAAAAACATTTATTTAACCATAAGACTCCACGTATGTCCTAACTCAAGCAAACAATAATTTCTCATGCAAAAGGAATCCTCAAACCACTTAGTGAAAGGTTTTTAAAATTCAACGACTAATAATACTTAGAGAAATGGTTATTCTACCTAAAGTTCTACCCAATCCAATTTTCTTCATTAATGGGCTCATCCGAGTTCATCTCCTTCGATCAAAATATGATTCATCTAAAATAGTTATTTTTATCTAGGCATTAAGACTTGAGGCACTAAAACACAATATTAATATAAGCATAAAGATTTTAACAGTAAAAGTGGACTCACGGCTTGGTCACTGCAGCGCAGAATGAGACACGGTAACAGACGTGTGCAGGGCTCGGGAACAGCCTGCGCGCAGAAGGTGTGGAAACAGCCCCTGCAGGGTCTTCGGGAACAGCGGCAGCGAGCAGTTTCTGGAGCGGCTCGTCCAAAAACAGCAGCCGTGAAGACACGAGGACAGTTGCCTGAACTGTCGGACAGCCTGCTGCTGACTTCTTYCGGCTGTCGTGCGAACTAGCGGACAGCTAGCTGCTGTCTTCTTCCGGACAGCTGCTTCGGCTGGGTTTGTCCCTTACAAACAGCGGCTCCGGTTGCTGTGGTTTGCTCTCTCAAACAGCAGCTAAGACTGCGTTTTTTTCCTTCTAAACAGCAGCTCCGGCTGCTGTGTTTTGCCTTCTCCAACAGCAGCTAAGGCTGCGTTTTTTTCCCTTCTAAACAGCAGCTCCGGCTGTTGTGTTTTGCCTTCTCCAACAGCAGCTAAGACTGCGTTTTTCCCCTTCTAAACAGCAGCTCCGGCTGCTGTGTTTTGCCTTCTCCAACAGCAGCT